AGATTTCTGACATCAGGTTGATTGTGAGAACAATTAATGTTTCCCTAGACTTCAAATAAAAAGGGTTTGTGCTTGTGCTGTTTGCGTGTTTTTCGGCCGTTAAAGATAATGTAGGATGACTGGGTTAAGCCTTGTTCATTTTGCAGCCAATTCCTATTGCTCCCGATGCGAGGGGTGCGTCTCCCGTCCAGGCTATTATGGCATCCGCTCCCACCATCTCCACCACCCGCGTCTTCTCCTGTCGTATATGCAAACTCTTCTTTCGAACGCGCGATCGTCTCCTGCGACACGAAAAGACCTCCATCGTACATGACCGCAGAGTGCGTTTACCCTAACTTTCCAATGAGCCTTTGCCGTAATATTCTGTTGCACTTTGTAGTCACTGAACTCAGCTCGAACTGTGTACTTCATCGTGCGTAATTGTAATGTAAAAAACATTTCACTCTACCTAACTTAGGTTTGCTAGCGACTTGTTGGTCATTTCCCGAGCTCTGCAGTTCTTGGCTATTTTCACCTTTTTTTCAAACATTCGCTACTTGAAACTTGTTCGTCAAAGTTCAATTCTTTAGAAACAATTTTGTTTTCCTAAGTCATCTACCGGTTTAAGCATACCATTACATGACATTTTGTTAAGCTGCCCCGCAAACAGCCTAAACAAAGCACTGCTTTTGCGTTCATCCATGTTTATCATTTATCTTTGGACAACATCTGACGGTGTTGAAAATATGGTAGGAAGAAAAGGGCTGCAACCAGCTTTCCTTATGATCTAAGGAAAAAGTGGCTGGCAAACCTGCACAGTACTGTACAATTAGTGGAAAAGACCGTTTTAACAACTCATGAAATTATCAATTTTCCTCACCATTTTTGTAACAAAATTGGATTCAGGAGAAGACTAAATAGGACGTGCCAAATCCATTTTATCGTTTACAATAAAAATGCAACAGTTGCTTCAGGTTTTAAAGGCTTATCAAGTAACTTGATTTCTTACAACTCTACTTAGATGCTAACTTCTTGTTTTTTTCACAACAGAATGGTTCTCTCTACTGATAGATATAACTCCGATATGAACAAAGGATTCTTAAAGAAGGCTTCCACATGCAACCATTCACTAATTTGTGTATTTGTTGAAGACCATCACAGATTTTGAAGGTAATTTGGCAAAGGCATCGATTCATTGCATTCTGGGTGATTAACAATCGTGTGGGCGAGTTTCCGACCGTTTTACTCCGGATAAGCCAACAGAATGACGCCATTTACACTTAGGAATGATTAAGTTGGTTCCTTTCTGTGTTTGTCCTACTTTAACCGAAAGTAACTCCATTTACGAGTTGAAGAGCGAATCAAACATTTTATTGACTCGTCGTCCCTTTCTCTTAGTGCTCTACATATTCGTAAAGTGTGTTCCATTGCCGTTTGGCCTTGGGATGGTCTAAAGGTGAAAATTCTCACTGTATCATTCTTATTTCGCTATATTTCATCGTTCGTGCGATCTTTTGGATGAGCGTTTGAACTCACTCGCCAGGCTTTTCGGAGGTTGTCGAGAGTTGTCTTTAACTGCAGTAAATCTTTGCCGGTGAAACCTTCGAGGTTTTCTTCGCTAGAAATTCATTTGGCGGAAGAAACGGTCTCATTTCGGAAGTGGTTTTACCGAAGCGCCATTGTTGCCTGATGAGAGGTTGCCTTTCTTCTAGTGGTAGGACTAGTTCTTCGGGAATGTTGAAGTTTAGAAGAAAACGAAATTATTTATCATCTTATCCCTTTGCGGCTACTTTGTTTCACGGTGGTTTTGCTACAAGAATAAATCATCGTTTTATTTGGTCGAAGAGTAGCTTGAACTTTGATAAGCAAATAAAATTAACCAACTCAGACTGGTCATATTTACATGAGTTCACAAGACCCACAGTTTCCTACTGTCTCATGCATTAAAACCAGCTTTGACTGATGCTGTAGCATAATTCAGATAAAGTCCGATGGTGAAGTTATGGACGACGTTCTCCTCAATTGTTTGGTGAGAAGCACATTTTTCGCATTGCCGTCAAAACAATTCCCGGCAATATGGTTGCACAATTGAAAATGAGTTTGGTGGCCATTATAACTTCATAGTAACGGTGCATACGTCGAGTTATGGTGACTTTATTCTGGTTCACGACTCCTTTTTTTCTTGTTTGAATGTCACCATCAGTGTTCCCTTTAACGGTTCTTTATTGGTCAAGCATGTTCAAACTATTCTTGAGGCATGAGGCTTCGTACAATGATTTCCTACAAAGCTACACTTATATCATGTCAACTTCACCTTATCCCCATCTACTGCTGCCTCATTACACTCCGGAGATTTTTTTAACCTTGACGCGTATCTAGTCTTCTGATGGCGTTCATAACTCAGCATTATCCTATTACGATCTTAACCTATTCTCCCAAACCTTCCATTTTTTAATTGCCAACTTGTACTACTACGTTGAACTCAATACCTCTTGTTATCTCGAATGCTAAATAATTCAGCCATCCAAATGATACTTTCCTGTCATGATATTTTTGCTTTGAGTTGCACCTTGTAGAAGTCATGATGTGTACGCGTTTGGGAAGTAGCTTCATTGTATAAGCATCGAATGTCGGGGCTAGGAGACTGTTAGTACAGTTCAACTTGGGGTGGAAGAATACTATGTCGTTGACACTTTGCTATAAACCACAAATTTTATTGTGCTAAGTGTTGACCGTTCTGTCCTTTTAACAAGTGGGACGTTGAAATAGCTCCAAGTGTTTGATTTGCGAAGATGATGAAGGTTCAACCTGTGTTTTTCTTGTAGTTGAGTCGATCGAAGCGCTTTAAGTTGGCGCCGGTGCCGGAGAGCGCGTTGGGTCGACCTTTCGAGTGTGCGGAGTGTGGTCTAGTGTACACACGAAAACACGCTTTGGAGCGTCACGTTGCCTTTGCGCACAATGGTGAGACAGCCTTCAGGTGTGAGTTCTGCAGCTTCCACGCCCTTGATCGAGCCAACTTTCGTCAGCACATGTCCCGTCATTTCCATCTGAAGAACTTTGCTTGTGAGGTAGGTTGACTTTTCTGCCGTCTTTCCAGTGACACCTCTTTTCTCTATTACTAAAATTAATAGCTTGCTTGGATTTCTCTTGAGTAAGGACGTATGAGATTTGAGAGAAGGTTTAATTTGCAAGTGAATGGGACATTCTAGGTTGGTATGTAGTCTTTTAGGCGTACTTCTTATGCGGTTTTTGAGGAATGCATGTAGAACTAGGTAGCTTTTGCAATGTCTTCGTGGAAGCTGCTCATTTATTTGTTACTGGTGTGTGTGTGTGTGTATGTGTAACGCATGTTAGCTACGCAAAAGGAAAGTCCTCGTTGTTTAGACTGTATAATCAACAGTATAGAGAAATAGCTCACCGAAAATTAATTTTACCAAATAGAAACAGATTATTACGCAATGATTGTCGTTGGGATAATTTGTTTTGGTCGGGATTATACAGAGGCGTCCTTACTGAAGGTGTAGAAATTTAGATTAACGATCTTGCGATTATCGATACTCTCCTAATTTACATCCATGACGGTCTGAAACAAGCCCAGATTAGGTGACCTTAAGGCTTTGCCATTCCTTCTGTTCAAGTATGGGTAATGCATCGTGCTTTTGAAATCCATGGCT